ACCACCTTTTGCATAATCCATTACTAACATATAATCATTTGTTTTAGGATCTTTTGTAATACCATAATATCTGACAACAGGGCTAATCTTTTGATCAGAAGTACAAATATGGTGCAAATTCAACTAATTTTTAAAAATTCATTATAAATAAAATTTTGTTTAAATTTTGCATCTCAGACAAGTGAAAGTTTGAATAATTACCTCATTTAAGAATTCTTTGCTAATTTCCTTTGAATATAGAAGCTTTTTTATAGCAACATCTTTATTGCGTCTTATAATATCTTGAGAGCCTATATTTTCATATTCAGGTATACCATCAAGCCAACATGCTTTGTAAATGGTTCCAAATCCGCCTTCTCCTATTTTTTCTAAATTTATAATTTGAGAAGATGGAATTCATTCCAAATGTAGGCAAGACTTGATATTTTCAATAAAGTTATAAACTTGTTTTATTTCAGAAGCTTTTAAAAGACCATTCATATAATAAGCAATCTGATGATTCTGATTATTTCTAATTGTAATATTAATAAAATCGTCTATATTACTATTTCCGCTGCTTAAAACGTTTATATCAAAAGTGAAGAATGATATCCTTTTGCAATTTCTACATTGAGATTGATTCGTAAGCCCAAAAATAATATTTGTTGTCAAACAATATCTACATCCAGCATAAATTACACGGCAACATGTGCACAAACTTTGATCTTCAGATAAATTTCCTAGTTTTTTTCCACAACAATAGCGAGAAGTTCTATTATCCCACCATGGCAAATAAAGTATTGGAATATTCTCTTTGGTTAAAGTTGATTCTACCCACCCAGATTGAATTTTATAGCAATCTGAACATATCTTAAAGAATAAATTACAATCACTCTTCGATATGTTCTGAAAAACTAGCCTGCCACATAATTTACAATTCTTATTTCTTTCCAATATCTTGAAGTCCTCATCACGCATAAATTTGGAGCTATAATCAATGATTCGGATTATTTGTTTGAAATATAGAATAACGGAGCAGCTTTCACACCATTCATGAATGTTTTGTGTGCAAAAATCCCTATTCCTGATTTCATGATTATTACAATGAACATTATTTGTAACTATAAGTAAATCCAAATACGTATTACCATCAGTTAAAGAGCTAATATACTTGGATAAGCAAATTTTACAATATACTTGGTAAAATAAATTTGTTAGGGAATATCCACTTCCACAATGGCATTTCTCACCATAATTATATTTAAAAGGAAGAAACATAATTGGTATAGGGCTAGATGGAGTTTGGTTAAAAGAGCTTTCATTATTTGTAATCTTAGAACGTATCATTTCGCTATATTAATAGAAAACGAAATTGGAAATTTGAATTATTTTCGACATTTTTAAGTTTATTTCATGTTACACACAATTTGGATGGAATGTTGAAAGTTTATCAGAACAATATGCTTATGCAAGGAGTACAATAGCAATTGTTGATCACGATCAAGCCGCACTATATTTAAAAAAAAAAGAAAATTTGTCCGTTTTAAATTACGATAGTGTTAACTCCTATTTTCGTGGGGAAATAAATATTATTCATTAAAAATGATTGCAATATTCCGAATCAGATGAACACTCATTTGGAAATTGAATAAAAAAATATACAAAGTACAATATTTACTGCCTCAGCTGACGCTCTGTAATAGGCCTTATAGAAAAGAGAATCTATCTAATTCAATCCTATCAAAACTCAAGGCAAATCGAAGCATTTTATAACAATTATTCCTTCGCAAGGCTTTATTACAGAATTCTCTAAAATATCAATTTTAAACTTGCTTGATGGACGTATATGCAACTATGACCGATATGACATATTATTGCGCTCAGTTCTTACAAGCTTATTTTTATAAACGAAGGTAAAGGTAGCAGAAGGTTTTTAATTAGGTATAATGATGCAAAAATTTATTAAATTATATAAATTACCAAGTACTTGCCTTAACATATGCGCTCTGTACTTCGAAGCCTAATTAACTGAATAAAAACAAATTTTCGAAATTACTAAAAATTATCTAAGGTGAAGATTGTAGAATTTCTAAACTAAAAGATTAATGCATTCAATTTCATTTTCTTTCAACCCATTCAAAAATCCACCATTTTTATACCTTAAATTCAAAACGACAACTTGTCCAGAGGACAAGTTGACTAGAGGACATTTTGACCAGTGGTCAATTTGGCCGGAGGATAATTCGTCCCGTGGTCTACTTGCCAAATGGCCTCCCATTTCTCAAGATCTATAGTTAATCTTTAGCAATTATTCTTTATTAAATAAAATAACAATTCTAAATAGCTTCATTTAATAATTATTGGAATTAAATAGATTTTAAAATTTTATCACAATTTAATTGCAAGCAAGCATACCGGTAGTAAAAATTACTATACAACTTATCGTCGGTTTTAAAATACATTTTGATGATATCAACCATAGCCAATTATATTAATATGATAATTCAAGAAAATATCAAGTTTAAATATTAAGTTATATAGATTTGAAAGCGGAAAATATAGAAAATATTTAAAGTTTCAATAAAATGAAGCATGTAATCGTAAATTCTGGTTATTTTACAATTATAAATAAAAATTATTTAAAACATAAATGCATTGGTTCATATATTTATATACATTTCCAGGATTAAATTTCAAAATTAAATAAAATATAAATTTTTGTGTTATGCGTACCAAATTTGTCGAGTTCGATAACTTTTTGTTCCATATTAGCACTTAAAGTTAATTAGATATTTTATAACATAAAAATAATTTGACAACTCGTTTTTTTGAAAATTCCTAAAGTAATTTTTTTTTTAGAGAACTGAGTCTGAAAATATTATCTATATATATTTTTTTTTTTTTTTTTTTTTTTTTAGAAAAAAGCGAGCTATTACATAATAGAGACAATTATTCAGAAAATTTCGCCAAATTTGAAAGAAAATAATAAGAATTCGAGTAAAGGCTTGAAAATGCGTTAAATTTAGTAAGAGAATGTCTATTTAATACACATCTTCACGTTACGCTTATTTTTGATTAAAATTTTTAAATGATTAATTTTAGTTATAAACTGTGCGATAATTTTAACTTATTCAGATAAATTTTTTTATGATATAAATTTCGAAAATAATCTAATGCTATTATTCCATTTACTGTATATGAATATCTCATTGCGGTGAACCTCGCATAAGGAATACAGAAATCTTGCATTTTCAAATATTCAACTATTTTGACCTAAGTGTTAAATATATTAAGTGTTTAATACGACCAATTATACATACTTGGAAAAATTTGACCCTATACGGCATTACAATAACTTTCAATCCCCCTTTATCAAGAACAAAAGGTAATTTCTATTTAAGAACAATGAATAAATGCATGCAACCTAAACCATATATGGGTTGTTCCATCGCTTAATCGTTGGTTTTATTTATAAATCGCTTACCAATGGAATCTTCTGCAATTAAGGACAAGTCTAATAAACTATAAAGCATTATAGTACCCGAGAAATTTTAAATAATACATATATCAAAATTCGTGGTTTTTAATACTCCGGATACTATACATTCTAGTGTACTATATATACTATACAGAACATATTGTAATTCGTAAAATCATTCGTTTCTTTTAATTGGCTGGTCACGCCCTGCAGGTCGTCAGTAAAATTTTTTGATTCAGACTTACCGTCCCGTCATCTACGAATTATTAAGCTGTAAACCTTCGTAAAATATTTGCGTTTTCATCGTACTGCTTCGTAAGTTTACGATACCTAACATTACGAAGTACTACTTTATATTACTGACGAATTAGTATTTTTAAATAAAGCATTGCAAAAAGAATAAAAAAAAAAATTGGTATGACGTTCAAAGTAGCTTTGCAAATATTATTTACGATATGAAGTTTAAATTCAAGAAATACTAATTAGTAAATACAGTATATGCTGATGAAATTTCGTTTCCGAAATAACAACGCCTCATAAGGTTTGGTAATATTATACCACGTAAATATTACAGAGACATTAATCTATAAGACATGGCAGTTAGAAATTTATTGTAACATTTTCAAATCATTAATAATAATACAAAATATACTGTACAGTCAGTATTTAAATTATTGCTACAAATTTGATAGAGTGGATTTTTTTTTATTTCAATTGACAATTAATTTCTTAAAATGAATGAGTTAAATGCAACCGTAAAATAACTATAGATTTAATAGCAAATTCGTTTCTATTTTCGTTATTTCAAACGATAAAATAAGGTTCCTGGACGAGTTCCACTGGTACCTTACTTTACTCTTTACTCTTACATGAAGGCCCGTTTAAATTTCTTAACAATTGTTATGAAACATATGGACCAATTTTTGAGATTTATGTCGGAGACAATTTAGAAATTTATCAGAGTTCCTTGAAAAATTATTCTCGACTTCAACAAAAAGTAATTTTACATTAC